GCGGTGCTCGAGCAGCTGGACGATGCCAATTTAACAGTTAGCGGGACAAAGAGCCGATGGGTTGTTTCAACTATAAAGATCTTGGGGTTTATATGTGACTCGAGAGGGCGCCGAGCAGACCCGGCAGAGCTAGACAAACTTCTGAACTGGCCGTCGCCGCTACATAGCCCAACCGAGGTCCGGCAGTTTCTAGGAGTAGTCGGATACTGGCGAATATTCATACGGGGATATGCGGAGAAGGCTGAACCCTTGAGGTTACTCCTTCGAAAGACTGAAAAATTTTACTGGGATGCTTCGCAGGAACTCGCAATGCAAGAACTTAAAGATGAATTTAAGGAAGGAGRGCGCGTGTTGGGTGTGCCATTCTTTGACGACGAGACCGAGAGACCCTTCATAGTATCCACGGATGCTGGGCCATGTTCAGTGGGAGGTTTACTGTCTCAGAAGGACGCAGGAGGGAAGGAAAGACCGTTAAGATTCGAGAGTAGGACACTTAATATGGCTGAGCGTAACTACAGTCAATTTAAGAAGGAGGTGTTAGCTGTTCTACGGTGTCTGGATACGTTCAGGCACTATATCTATGGGCGACGATTCATCTTAAGAGTAGATCCTACCACAGTTGCCTCAGTCCTCCAGAAGGACTTTAGTCTGACAGACCCGACCATCGCCCGATGGCTGATACGGATTTGGTTATACGATTACACAGTGGAAAGGATATCTGGCACTAAAAATGTCGTGGCAGATGGACTTTCGCGGATCCCTCTTGAGACTGAGCGCCCGATAGTAGCTGGGGCCCTTACGTTGGCGGAACCCAGACGCGCCGAGAGATTTCTGGTTAACCTATACGAGGGCAAGTACCGAGCGATCGGGCTACACCTGATGGGTGAGGAGAGTCCAGATTCAGATATTCGGAAGCAAGCCGTCAAGTATTGCCTTAGAGCGGGCCACCTTTTCCGAAGACCGGTAGGATCAGGGATGCCCTTACGAGTGGTCTGTGAATCTGAGGAGAGACAGATGATAGTTGCGGAGCTTCACGACGGGGTAGTCGGAGGACATAGGGGAATCAAAGGGACCTACGAAAAGGTACGCAGGCTGTACTGGTGGGAAGGGCAGTATAAGGACGTCGAGAGGTACTGTATGACCTGCGAAGAATGCCAGAAGAGAGCTCTTGTGAAATACAAAGAGCCGCTTCATCCATCCTATCCAACCCGACCAGGAGAGAAGGTACACATCGATCTAGTGAAAATGCCGAGAGGGGTAGGCAATATGAACTACGTCGTGAACATACGAGACGATTTCACTGGGTTCGTGGACGGTAGACCTATCCGGAGTAAGGCAGCAAAGGAGGTAAAGAACTTCGTCCTAGAATACTTATCAAGGTATGGTTGTATCGACAAGATAGTGATGAACAAAGGATCGGAATTCCTGGTTGACGAAGTTCAGGAAGTGTTCAAGAGAGCTGRGGCGAGAGTTTCGATAGCCACCGCCTATCACCCACAGACGAACTCCCCAGTAGAGAGAGGACACCAGACTCTGATAGCGTCGCTGTCCAAGTGGTGCAAGGGTAAGGACAGTGATTGGCCACGATATTTTCGTATGCAATATGGGCGGACAACGTCACGGTCCGGGCTAGTACCGGATATCCACCCTATACTTTGTGGTTTGGGCGACATTGCCCGCTTCCCATAGAGTTTCACATCGACAGCTGGACAACCGTCGACTGGGCGGAGGAGATGTCCAGGGAGGAACTTATAGCCGCTCGAACAAGACAGATAGCCTATGGTTTGGAAGAGAACCTCATGACAGCGGCAAATCGCTTGGCAGTGGAAAGAGACAAAGGTAAAGAGAGATGAGATAAGAATGTGAAAATCAGAAAAGAGAGGGTGAGTGTAGGGGATATGGTCCTTCTCTACGATGCCGCGCTTGAAAGAACTTCGACCGGAAAACTCGCGAACAGATGGATGGGACCTTACAGAGTGGTTGAGGCACTCGACTGGGGTGCATATATGATAGCAGAGTTAGACGGGTCTAAGTGGAAGGACCCAGTGGCGGGTGCCAGGCTAAAGCTGTTTAGGCCCAGGCCCGGGGCCGCCTTGTCGCTAGTCGACCCGAAGGGAAAAGGAAAGGCCAAGATGGAGGACGGAACGCCCCCGAGGCGATATGAGGCAGGAGAGAGTTCCAAGAAGAGGAAAAGGGTGGAGAAAAGGAAGGTCAAAGGGTTAGCTCTAGGAAGGAAGAAGAAATGACTATTCGTGCTTAAGAGGGCCAAACGAAGAGTCCGCATTAGACAAACTGGCGGGACGGCACCCTTCTCGGGCCGACGACAGGAGAAAGGGAGGATCCTACCAAGGCGTACATCCCGGCGGGGAAGGAAAGTCAAAAATCACTACTTAGCCCTAAAACTCAAAACAGACTAAAACATAAGACAACTGAACGCCGACGTGGGCGTCCTTTACGGGCAATCGCCCTGAAGTTCGTCCGCTTCGTCTGACGAAAGTGGTTAGGGCTCGACGGGGGCGTCGAGAAGTGGTCCGGGCTGACTGTCAGGCGACTACAAGTAGTGCGCCGCCTGAAAGTGGCAGTCTTGGAACTTAGGCACAAGGATAAGTCCGTGCAATGACGGTACTCTGGTATGACCAGGCCGCAAAATTAGGGGGACCCAGAGCACCCCTAAGATTGGAGGTGTCGATCGGTGAGACTAGCCCTCAGAATTRGCGAGAGAGACTACCTCTTCTCCCGCGCTGGCGTCTATCTTATTTCCGCCGCTCCGAGCTTGTTTCCGAAACAACTGGCCGCAGAACGGTGATATGAGAAAAGGCCTAGGCGTGGTCCCTTTTATGCTGCGCAACTGGCATGGGAATGAAGCCTCGGATTTCATTAATTTTAATATTAAAATAAAAACTAAGAAAAATAATTAAAAATGATAAAAAGGAAGAATACCAACGACTATTAAATAATCGACTGAATTTTGATCAGATTATTTGCGATCGGATTTACCCCCAGATTATTTATTTACTCTAAATCTAACGATTTTCTCTAATTCCCGGTAATCGGGATCGTTTGCGTGAGTTACCTGACTTGGCCTCGCTGCAACCTGTGTGATATGAGTGGGTGTGCGTTTGATGATCAACGCAGCATCATTACTGGGATTATTTTGAGATGGATCGTGTGGCTTTACTATACTTTGTGCGGTTGCTGGTTTGGTTTGGGCCCGACAGTCAGGCTTGGGGCAGGTTCGGGACTATTAAAACATGGCTGCTCGGTCCGGCGTTGACACGATACAACGGACTGGCATTAGTTTTCAGGTTCGGGACAGACTCGACGCCGGTATGGTGCGGACTATTCAGGTTCGGTATTGGCATGGTAATGGTTTGATACTCCCGAGGGGCCGCGACACTGCATGGTATCAACATTTTCAGGCTTCGTACTGGTTCGGCAACGGTATGGTACACGCCACTGCATTATTTTCAGATATTGTTTCAGCAACGGTACTACAGGTTCAGTATTGAACCATCCTCGACACGGTGCAGATTATAGTAGACCTCGATGTTTATTTCGAGTTCGTCATCGGTACGGTAACGGTGCAGGTTGCTGCGGTGTGCCACTCCGCTAATTTTGGTTGAGGCCTTAGGACCGGAGGTATGAGTTCCCGGTGCTGCCGCAGGTATTGCYGGRTATCCATGGACAGTGTCCGTACCCTCGCTGTTGTAGACCTGTGGACCCGGGTTTCCAGTAACCCATGACCAGCGACTGCAGTCCGGTTATAGCCTGGATGTTGGGCCTGGTACTAGGGGTACAAAGAGTGCTAACCCTCAGCAATGAACAGGTACCGCTGAGGGCCAGGAAGGAGCTGGTGGGAGCTGTGACCGAGACAGGATATAGGACAAACCACGGGAAAGCCAAAAAAAAGACAGGCGGGACAGTATCCAGAGGCGAGCAAGGCGTACACAGCAGCCCCCAACCCGTTTCAGGGAGGAGGKGCGGAACGCCAGGCGTGCATCGCATACACTCAGTTGACTTGAAGAGGAGCATGATGGCGCGAAAGGGGGCATTGGGGGAAGCGTACGGGGAGTACGCAACAAATCGGGCAGCGAACGACGGTGAGGGGAGCGAACGGGTCTGATGGACCCCGTGCTCAATCAAGGGATGCTGTTGATGGCACAACAACTATGGGGGAGCAGATGACCACCACAGTGCAGAGGAGATGGACTGACTATGAACCAGGTTTTCAAAGGTGCATCACACTTAGTACAGGGGAGAAAGAGAAAGAGAGGGGGAGAGGGTGCAC